GCTACCTCCCTGGCCCCTCAGTCTCCTTCTTAAGGGCTTTTCTTCTGCAACTCTCTGTCCCTTCCTTCAGCATGAAATGTGCCTGACACCCATTTCAAAACAACATAACTGAGCAGACTTTCCAGCAACTACCCACTGGTACTACCAACAACACTAAGGCACATGTAAGGGCCCTCTGTGTCCCTTCCAGAGTGCTGCAGTTTGTAGTGTTTATTTCCCATAAATGATATCACCATTCTACAGGGTGGTCAAGACTAAGTGCAGAGAACACTGGTGGAGAAATGGGGACCAGAGGACCTGGTGACGATCAGCATGGAAATGTAGCAGGTACTGTGTTCTCCCAACAGGATCAGGAGGACTTGGGAAAGAGAGAAGGGCAGGGCTCTCAAAGGGAACATGGAGAACTGCTGCTTCCTGGACTCCTGACACATGCGCTGTCCGCCCTTGCCAGCTGCTCAGCTAAATACTCCATGCAGATGGAGTTGTGGGGTGAATGATGCAGGACTAAGGTGGGGCCGAGTTCTGGAGATTTGCCATTTGATGGACAATGAGGAACATTAGAAAGGTGATGAGCCCTGAATTTAAGAACAGTCCCCTCACAGTTTCAGAGAGGCTTGGTTGGAGGAGGGAAGACTGTGAAGTGATTGTCTCAGTTTGTAGCCATGAAATTATCTTTCTTTTATTGTTTAGTGGTACTAGGGATTGAACTGAGGAAATCCACACTGAGCGCATCCCTAGCCCTTTTGTTCTGCTTTGTTTTTGAGACAGGGTCTAAATTTGCTAAGTTGCCAGGGCTGGGCTTGAACTTGTGATCTTCCTGCCTGCCGCAGCCTCCCGTAGTACTGAGATGACAGGTGAGCACCGCTGCTTGCAGCTCGCATGGAATGTTACACAGGTGCCCGAGTGAGGCAGGGAGACACCAGCGAAGGGAGCCTGACTGCTTGTCACATGCGCTCTCATGCCTTCATAATACTGTTTGGAGCATGTTTAAGTTGCTTAGCACTTGGAGTTTGTGCACATTAAATTTAGAAAAGTTAGACATTGCTTAATTTCTTCCTCTATGTTTTCCTGTTCATTTACACACATATTGGACCCTGTGATGTCCCAAAGCTCTTTGTACTTGTATATATTTTTCTATTTAATTTTCTGTTATTTATTTATTTTGTATTTTTAGGGCAGGGTCTACAGGGTGTTTAGGGTCTCACTACTAGATCGGACTCATAGTGATCCGCGTGTTTGCAGCCTCCCAAGAGCAGGGATTACTGGCGAGCCCCACCACACCCAGCCTCAATTGCCATCTCATCGTGCCCCGGGGGCAGGGCCCGCACTGCAGGCACGGGGATCGAACTCCCAGCCCCTGCGCCTGCTTGCAGCTGCTGAGTTATTTGGCAGGCCCTCTTCTGTTACATTTTGGCCAATTTTTATTGCCGTTTTCTGTTTTATTTTCTGAGGCCTATCTCATTAGTCCTGTTAAGTTCATTGGTCATTGCAGGTCTTTTTATCTCTAGATCTTCTGTTGGAGTTTTTATACTTCCTACTTCTTACATATATTGCCTCAGATATGTATGGTATTGATTTGCAGTAGCCATTTTGACAACATTAACTGCTAATTGGGTCTGTTTTGTGGGCCCTCCCCATTCTGGGTTGTGGTTTGGTTTGGTGTGTGTTTTACATGCCTGGTCATTTTTGCTTGGCTCCTAGACACGGTGACTTTTGTGTGGTAGAGGGTAGGCTTTGATGCCTCCCTTGAGTGCTTTGTGCTTTCCGTGGAGCATAGTTACTTGGCGTCACCTATGTCCTTTTAAGCTCAGTCACCTTCATTAAATCCTGTAGGTGCGAATGGAGAAAATCAGCTCCCCTCCACCAGCCAAGCCTCCAAAACTGAGGTTACTGTTCAAGTCAGTGCACATAAACTCTACTTACTTCTCAGACTTTCAGTGCCTTCCTGTTGTCCCCTAACAATCCCACACCCCTTAAGGGAGCTCGGGTTTGGATGGAAAGGCAATGAGAAGTAGCTCCTGTCCCTCCCAGATGGTGGAGTGATTTACAGGCTGAGCACGAGCATGTCACACACCTACCGCAGGTGGGAGGTGAGGACCCCCGTGCCACCATCCTCAGCATTGTCCTGAGGGCCGATGTCTCTGTGCTGGTACCAGCTACCCAGCTGGCTCTTGGAGGACAAATGAAAATGGGTGCTGCCCACTCTCGCCTACTTGCGTACTCTGCTCTGCCCAGGAAGCCAGTTGATCTTCCTCTCTGGTCATAAACCTTGCTGCTTTAGGGGCAAAGTGGGTAGGGAAGGCTCCTTTATTGACAAAACCAGGAGCTAAATTTAGTTGATTTTACATGAGCAAAAGACAGGTACATGCATGCTGATTGTACAGTTCTTGGCATCCAGGCAATGGGTTTGGATTTCTTAACGTCACACTGGCAGTGTCCCACGTGGGTCCAGAGAAATTGTCTTAATTCCTCTGTTGCCCCTCCTGAAGAAGCCCTGCCTCAAGAAGCCACAGGCAGTCTACGTGGCCTCCGTATTCCAGTCTGGCTCCGGCCTTCAATGCCTCCCCTGAGCCAGCAGAGGAGTCAGGCAGGTGGCAGGGCACAGGGGGAGTGGGGAGTGGGGGTGGTGTGGGGTGGTGGGGTGCGGAGCACAGCATAGGTGTCCGAGCCCAGCCACCCGGGCTGGGCCCGAGAAGCCCGCCTACCAGCTGTGAGAGCTCAGGTTTTTGTCTGTGAAGTGGGGGGAGTTAAGAGCCCACTTCTGAGGATGTGTGAGGGTACTTACAGCCCCGTGGGTCATGTTACTGTAGCTTTTGCTCCTAGCGCTACGGCCCAGGCTGCCCAAGGAGAGCACTTCATGACTCCTGGGCCTTTCCTGCTGCTGAGTCAGCCACCTGCCCCTCCAGCCCCAAGGGGGCTCCTCTCTCAAACTCACCATCTTCAGGCCAGGACCTGGTACACAGACGCTCACAGCCTTGGCTCCCGGAACAAACTGGGAGCGCAGGCCGTCACTGTGGCATCCTTAGGCTTCAACTAAGCACTTTCCACCAAAAAGACGTGTTATTCCTTGGAAACATTACCCAATGATGCCAAATTATGCAGAAAACGAACTATTTCCCACGTGTAGCTCACGGAACAGCTCCAGAACTTGAGAGGGTGGTGGTCCCTCTTCTGCCCATGGAAGCTGGGTACAGCACAAGCCCTGGCCGCCGGGTCCAGCAGAGCTGGGGGCACGGCTCACCCTGGACACACACGCCCGCCTTCATCGCCACCGCCCCTCACCTCCTCATGCTCAATCATCACCTGGTTTAAAAAAACAGGAATTATTTTTCCTTCACAGAAGAAATCATTTTATTCCACTTGAGAAAAGTAAAAGATACAGATTTATATTCTTTGCCTGGCAAAAGTGATTTTCCCAAGGGACTCGGGACTCTCCCTGGTAAAACTAAAGGCCACAAATAATAGGGAAATCAGGAGGCCCCATCAACACTGTGAGCAGAGAGACACTTAGCTGGAAAAACATTTACATGATCAAAATGTTTCCTGTATCCGGGCTGATGATTTTGTTTTGTCCTGAAGGTCATCCTGGTCCCTCAAGAAAACATTTGTGAAGATGATTTAAATGCACTAAATTGAACTCTAGGCCAGTTGTTTCACACAAACTGAGAGAAAGAAACTAGAAACCTGTCTGGAGGACTCTTCTGCTACCCTCCTTTCCTCTCCCAAGGTGGGATCTTTTACATTTATCTCTGGGCCTCAGGTATCGAGTGCCATACCAGCGCCTCGAGGGCAGCGTTTCTGGGTGTTTTCCACAGGTCTGGTGGGCAGAGCAGTGAGCCCCTCCACTGCTTCCCTGCCTTGCCTCACCCCACCCGTGCACAGGCTGGTGTCTTGCCAGAGAGGTGAGGACAGGCAAACAGCTGGCTCCATCTCACCATGGTCAGCCTCAGCCACTATACTATGAGTTGGGTAAGTGTCCCAAAGGCCTAAGACTTAAAGGTGTGGTCCTCAATTTGGCATTATTTTGAGGTGAGGTGGGGCCTAATGAGAGGAAGTTAGGTTGCTGGAGCAGTGCCTGTGAAGGGGACCTTGGGACCCCAGGCCTTCTCATTTCAAGTCAACACATGAGATGACATCACATGATGACCTCACAGCCATCCCATGTGAAGAGGTCAGCTCCACTACACACTCCCTGCCATGATGTGCCACTTAGCCACAGATCTAAAATCAATAGGCCAACTGATAGGATGAAACCCTCTGAAGCCATGAGCAGAAATAAACCCTTTCTCCTAAGTTACTGTCTTAGACTGTATTTACAGTCTCAGAAAGCAAATACTATGCCCCTCGAAGACACGAAGTGTCTGGTCTTATGGGCTACACCATAAACAGGGGACTCCCCTATGGCAGTTAGGGCAAGCCTTTTAGAGACCAAGTGGCCCAAATAGCAAGCCCAAACCCACTTAGGTGCTGCAGAGTGCCACCACCTCAATCCGATCTGAATACTGATGTTTTGGTTTAGAAAACCCAACCAACTCAACCATTTAACATCTTTGGTCTTAAAAACAAGTAATATGTATGCTGTAGGTTCACCACCACCCAAAAGGCCCCTCCTGTGGAAGTGGCAGGAAGCACACGGGGTTTCCTGGGGTGCTGGGGCTGCTGCTCTGGGCGATGCCAGCAAGGCAACTGCTCTGCACCTTGGCGACTGTGCACGTTCTTCCTGCCATGCTTGAGCCAGCAAGAGTGCCCTTCCTTAAGAGGCTAGGAATAGTTCAGCGGACTAATAGCCTGCTTAAGCCAAGTGCAGGGACCAGGATTCAATCCCGAGCACCATGTACTGCACAGGCCCTGTGGTGGCACACGCCTGTAATCTGCTGGCGAGACTGAAAACTGGAGGTTCGCTATGAGTCCAAGCTGTATAGTGAGAGCCCCATACCAAATACACACACACATAAAAAAAAGAGGCTGGGACGACCCAGGAGCCCCCAGTGTGGGGCATTTCTCATGGGAAGTGAGATGTACCTGTGCAGCAGGCTACATAGACAGGAAACCCGGGAACAGAACTGCCGTCTACCCAGCAGGGAAGCACCGTGAATGGGCCCTCTTGGATCTGGCAAGTGGCTCTGCTTGAGCAAAGCTAACAGGCGGGCAAAGAGGAAGCAGGCCTCCTTACAATCATATTCCTCTGGAAATCAGGGGGACATAAACTACTACTCCATAGCACCTTTCCTGGGGCGATGACACTTCCCCGAGCCAAGCCAAGTGCCTCCATGGTGGGCGGGGACACTAACAGGCCAATGACCAACCAGCCCTGACCCCGGGACGCCCACACTGCTGCTCCTTTGCTGGAGGCCATTCCTCTCCCTCAGCACAAGCAGCTTTGGGGCCCAGCCAGCCAGTCCACCGAGTGGCTTCAGGAAGTGTGGGTCACAGGTAATTGTCTATCTGGCGGCACCTTGGATGTGGAGGCAGCTGAGGACAGTGGTATGTGGAGCCCGCAGCCTAAGAACAAGCGAGCAGACCTCAGGGCTGGTGCAATCCAGAGCGCTGTGACCTGCAGCCGCATCCACACATCCCAGGAAACAAAGCGTAGCACCCGAGGACACAGCCAGGGCCAGGCAGTGGACAGCACGCACCGGCTGCTGAGGCAGGGCTGCTTGCTTCTCCAGGAGCTACAGCCTAGTTGCCTGCTGGGGTGGTCGGGCTGAGCTGGGTGGCTGCTGAGGTCAGAGTTGACACTGGAAGCACTAACCTGGGGGACTGTCCTGGACCAACACTCGATGCCACCACTGAGCCATAGGGGATGGCAGTTGTATTCAAGCTATTAGGGGTCTCCCCAGTAGCCTGGATTTTAAAATAGACCAAATAAAATAGCGGCAGCACAATCCCAATTAGAAGCATGATGAAGACAGCATTCCACCACTGAATGCCGCAGTCTGCACCATCTGTAGATGTCCTCGGGGCTGCGGGGAGCAGTGGCTGATCGGCAGCGTCTGCACAGCAGCTGTCACCCAGGAAGATCTCCGAGTGCACTGCACGCTCAATGTTCTGGTCAATGCCCTTGAAGAAGTCTGTCAACTGGCTGGCCTGGGCATCCGCACCTGCAGCCGCGCTCTGGGCACTGGGCGGCTCCACAAAGGTCACTCTGGTCTCTGAGGGTGGGCCTGGAAGGGGCTTCAGTTCCTTGTGGGTCTCTGTGAGGATCCCATGGCTTTTCACGGGAATTTTAATCGATTTCAAAGCATATAAGTCTTGTTCTCTGATGAAGTTGTTAACCTTCTTAATATCTGCGACCTAGGGGAGCCATGAAGACACGTGTCATAAATTAAGTGAAGCTTCTTAAAAGTACACAGTTATACCCAAGTGGCCCTTAGTCTGGCCGGACGAAAGCCAAGATCAACCCAGCCAGGCTGGGGAAAGCCAGGAAGCTGCGCGCACATACTGGGTTGGTTTGGCTTTTACTCTGCGCTAATGGACAGTCTAGTGATCAAATGTGCCTATAGATTTACAAGTCGGAACAATTTCAGGTCGGTTTTGGAAACCGTTTCAAATGCCACTGCAACAAAATGCTTTTAGGTGAAACCCTATGCCCTATCCGGATACTAGAGTGAACTCGGTAGCTGTACTGTACTGTCTTTAACTTTGAGGCAACAGCGTCCCCATCTGCCTGGTTTCCTTCTCACCCCAGAACCCAAGTGAAAGGCTGCCTGAGGAAACCCCAAAGCCTCTACCAGTCTAAAGACAGCAGAAGCCAATGTACCTGTAATACCTGTAATACCGCAGACGTGACCTCACCCAGAACCATACTGTCTTTCTCAGAAGTGCTACAGGGAGGATACACTTTGACTAAGGTTAATTCACTTTGGAGACATCACAACTTTTCTTTTAGATTCATCAGTCAAGTTGAAGGCCATATATGGACAGATTTTCTAATTGTCAACTCAGACAAAAAGAACACATGTAACAGAGTTTATCTTTTAACATAAAAGTTCATGACAAACTCTTTTCTTAAACTTTAGGATTTATGAAGAGGGAGACAAATATAAATCAAAAACTCCTCCTCAAGCTAATGTTTGAAAACCTTCCAGATACTGCAGATCATCTATAAAGTTTTCATTTGCAAGTCCACTTAAAGTAGACTATAAATACAGGCCACAGGCCCTTAGCGCTTCCTTCGTGTCAATCGTGTCTGTTACTATAATTATGTAGCAGCTGCTTTCATCATTTCATGGAATTGAGGGAACATTTTTCCTTGTTTACGGAAACAAACATAGGAAATCCTTGAGATGTTCTGGTCTTTGACTCAACTTAAAAGCAAATATATTTAAGTTAGCAAAACTGATCATTTGCTGGAGACATTATATATCCTTGGTAGGTTTATTAGATATCACCGTACCAACAGACCTACCCATATATATGTAGGGTTTTTCAGCCTATGTCCTATAAATCATAGGCAGAAAACCGTAGATGCTGTGTGTCTCTAGAAACTGGCTTAGAAAGACACAAATACCCCACAGGATCTTTTCAGCATTTGGACCTTGTTAGGTAAATGACAAACACTAAGTTTTTTTAATACTAAGTAGCTTACATAGTCTTAGGGTAGGCTATATCTACTGTACAGTGTTAGCAAAATGAAATAATTTCACCCTAGGAGAAAATGAGGCGATTCTTTAAATACTTTCCTACTTACTTTGCCATTGTTAATCACTCTGAATGCTAAAAACATAATTAAAGAGAAAAACAGTTATATAGGTACACAGCACAGAGCTAGAGCATGCAATTCTAAAAGAGAGAAGGTGAATTATTACCAAATAAACACAGCCCCAAAAGTCAGAAAAATTAAAAGCAGCAAGAAAAGCAAACACGCCAAAAGAATCTTAGATAAATTCCATCTGACAGCTCCAACGCTCTAAGGTCTTAAATAAAATGTGCTCAATGCAAAAAAAAAAAAAAAAAAAAACTGGGGATGGGTCTCAGAATTCCAGTGTTTGCTGCTGTGCAGAAAGGAAATGTAGAGTTAGGATGGCTTCCTGACTAACCGTTCTGAGCCCAGTTCAGAGATGAAGGACCTCTGCCTGCCTTGCACTTCTGGCTACACAGAGGCACCTGCTGCCGCAGCCACAGGGCTCTGACCACCCATGGGGTCAGGAAAGGCAACCAGGCCTGGCCTGGGGGAGCCCTTCAGAGCTGCTGGAGGCGGGGACGCAGCCTGGGGTGGCTTACTTTGCAGCCATACTGCAGAGCCAGCTTGTTGAGGTTGTCTTCCTGGGCCACCTCCCGCTGCAGCAGCACCACGTCCCCTGCTCTGGGCCGGTGCGCCTGGTGAACGCTGTTCTGGAGCTCCCGGCCCCGGGGGCGTAGAACCACCTGCTGCTGCCGGGTCTCTTCCTCAGAGGAGTCCTCTGAGTCCCCACTGCCATTTTTGAACACGTACACGTGACTGCGTGGAGTCCTACAGACAGCGGCCGGGCCTTGGAAGGTCTTGGTTAACAGCTCCTTCTGCCTCATCTTCCCTGAAAACCAAACCCGTGTTAATCCTCCAGGCAAGAATGCACAACTGGCCCTGTTAAACAGCGGTATCTTGTTAGCAATTATTCCTTTCCCTAATTCCTGCAGATCCTCACAAATAGCATCAGTACAAAATAGGAGTGTCTTTAAGGTGAGCTGGGAGGAGGGAGGCAGAATAAGAGCACTTTTAAAGACGGTACACGTTTATCCATAGGCTGGGATCCTCGTGATGAGCAGTAAGGACTGTTCTGCTTCCATACACGAGTAAAAGCACAACCTGTGTACAACAATCTCGTTCACTATTTATGCATTCCACGGTTTCTTCACTAAGACACCGGATACTCAGGACACGTGCTCAGAAGAAGTACGAGACCAACACGCTGTTATTTTCACACTGCTTGATGTCTTGCACACGCGAGGCGAGGGAGAAAAACACCTGTCGACCTCACAGATTCACGACCTCAGAGATTCGCCCTTTTTCTCGGAGGTCACCGTGCGTTCCTTACTCCCCCGCTTCTATTTCCATCTATTGCCAGAGCTACGAAGCATCCCTCTCCCTGTCCAAGTAGCTAGAAAGAGATTCTAGAAATGAAATCTGAAACTTGGGGACTAACAGTCTCGCATAGAGTCGGCGAGGAGAGCCATCGAGCGGCGGGGGCGCGGTGCGGGCCGGCTCCTCCGCCCGCGCAGGGGCTGCGCGCCCGGGACTGCCGCTCCGAGGGCCCCCTCCTCCAAGCCTCCCTCCGCGCCCCGCAGCAGGCGCTGGCCCGGCCCTAGGCCCGCACCCCTGACCTCCAACCCGCGAGCGGGGACCAACCGCTGACAGTCTCGGCCTCCGCCCCTCCGTCTGCGGGAGGTTCGCTGAGGAGCCCACGGGGCCGCAGCCCGCCCCAAGTCCACAGCCCGACCAGCCCGCGGCGCGGCACCAGCCCGCAGCCCCCACGTCCGGGCCAAGACCCCCTCCCCCAGGCCGTGCTACCTCCACTCCCAGGCTCCGCCGCGCCCGGCTGCCACCAACGCCGCCGCCGCGCCTGGCGATTGGCTGCGAAAATCAGGTCTTCCGGGGGGCGGGGCCGGAGAGACAACCAATGACATTGGTCGTGAGCGGGCCCCCGCGCGAGCCGCGCTGCAGAGAGGTCAGCAGAGGACAGGCTCGGTCTGGGGGCGGGGCGAGGGCCGGGAACGGGGCGGGGCCTCAGTTTCAGGCCCTGACCCTCCGACGGTGCCCTTAGTTTTTCTTGGCGCTCTACGTTAGCTGATTCCTGGCGAAGGTCAGGCTTTCTGCTGAGCCTCAACGTTCTCAGTCGCAGAGGCCTTGGCCCCGCCTGCTTGAGGCCATCTGTTGGCAGCCAGCAGATCGCCAGGAGCGACTGTCATCCCCTGAGATCTCCCTTCTGGCGTGGCTGATACCAGGATCCGAGGCTGCCTTAGCCTGGAGAATAAAAAGAAAAGTCCGGGAACGTAATACAGTGACAAACTCAGACCCACACACAGAGGTGGAGTAGCGGAGGATCTCCTGAGTTGAAAAGCGATGGAATCCTCACATGCCAAGGCACAAATGTGGAAACTTCTCAAAAAAGGAACCCAAAATAAAAAGCAAACAGTAATCTGGGGGGAAATGCATGCAAAAAACACAACTGAGAGCTCAAATCCTTAAGGGAGGATTGTCCCTTGTCAAAAAAGTAAATCAGACAGCCAGGCCCAGGGAGATGGGAAGTTCCCCGAAGAACGAAGCTAGTCCACAGCTGGAGCTGCGCGGCTGGCGGGGGATGAAGCCTCAGCTGCTGTCATCTTCAAGGCGCGCGTTAAAATAACATGATCGCAGAAAGCCATGAGTTTTCCATCCCACTTAAAATAAAAATAAACGGGGCATGATGGTGCATGCCTGTAATCCCCGCACGTGGGAGGATCCACATGAGTTTGAGGCCAGCCTAAGGCACACAGCGACATCAAGGCCTGAACTACACAGAGAGGCCCTGACTCAAAAAGCAAAATCAATCCATCAATCTTGGTGTTGGTGGGAACACGCCTCCCCTGTGCCGTTCTTTTTTCTTTTTTTTTTTTTAATATTTGTTTTATTTTTTAACCATAGTACAAAATAGTATTACAACAGAAAAATCACAAATTATACAGAATTTCACTAAAAATAATTTGTTGTATTGCATAGTGTTGTCTTCAAATTAGTTTATATGACCATATATTTGCATGCAAAATTGGAAGGACAAAGAAAAGAAGAAAATTGTATATAAGAAAGAAGAGAATAAAAGGAAAAATAATTTTTAAAAAAGACAAAACAAATTATACAGCAGCTACTTCTTTCCATACAAAAGCAGAAATCCACAGTACACTTGTACAGACCATTCTACTTACATACATAAATGTCTCAGTTACTTTTTTCCTCAGTAACAAAATACCGGACACCCAAAAGTAAGGAAGGAAAGGATTTTTTTTTTTTTTTTTTTTTGTGAAACCAGGGATTGAACTCAGGCCCTTGCACTTGCCAGGGAAGCGCTTATTCTACTGAGCCATCTCCTCAGCCCCAGGAAAGGCTTTTTTATTTTTTGTTTTTTTAAAAAAATCTTTTATTTATTTATTTAGTACAGGGTCTCACAACAAAGTGACCCTCCTCTCTCAGCCTCCCCGCACTGGGATTACAGGCACGTGCCACCACGTCTGGTTCGGTGGTCTACGCAGTCCCTGGGCCTAGCACGGCGTGGCATGCGGTACCAGGGATCAAACCCAGGTTCTTGCACTTGCCAAGCAGGCACTTAGACTGAGTTATCTCCTCTGCCCAAGGAAAGGTTTATTTAAGTCATAGTTTGTGGAGGTTTCAGTCCATACTTGGCTGGCCCTAAAGCAGAGTGGCACATGCCAGAGGGCAGCAGTTCATGGTGGCAGAAAACAGCAAGAGCAAAAAGGAGGAGTAATGGCAACAATGGCAGAGGCCAGCCTCTCTCCTTTCCCTCTATTGCCTTCAGGCTATAAGTGTAGTACGCACACCCATAATCCCAGCCTTGGATCATGAATTAATCGCAAGCTTTACAAGCCACCCCAATGACTGCATGAGGCATTGAGGGGACACCTAGATATAAACCGTAACAATAGAGATATCTCTTTCCCTCACTCCCTCTCCTGTCCTTGTCTTCAGCTTAGTAATTCCTTCCTTTTGAACAGGTTGATTCCTTTTCTGCAGTATCTGTTGTATCCTTCAGATTTTATTTTCTCTTTCAGGTTTTCACACTAAGGAGACAATGCAATGTTTATACATGTGGGTTTGATTTATTTCACTTAAGAGTATGATCTCTAGTTACATCCATTTACTGATAATGGCCTCAAATGTATCCTTTTTTATAGCTGAATAACATTCCATTGTGTAAAACATACCACATCTTCTTTACCCACTCCTCAGTTGGTCATTCAAGAAATGCGAATTAAAACAACCCTGAGATTCCAATGCTGGGCTTCCATCTCAACCCAAAAAGAATGACTATCATCAGGAAGTCAACCAGTAACAAATGCTGGTTGGGCTGTGGGGCAAAAGGAACTCTTCTCTACTGTTGGTGGGAGTGCAGAGAGGTACAACCGCTATGAAAATTGGTGTGGAGATTCCTCAAAAAGCTAGGACTGGAGGCCCCACTCAACCCAGCTAGTTCCCTCCTGGGTATTTTTCCAGAAGAACTAAAAGCATCATATAACAGTGATATATGCATCCATGTTTATACAAGCACAGTGTGTCATAGCTAAATCTTGGAAGCAACCCAAATGCCCATCAGCTGAGGACTGGATAAAGAAGATGTGGTCTTGTTGCACCCTGTGCCGTTCTCACTTTGTTTTGCTTCCCTTCCCGTTGCCCTTTCTTCCGACCCTCCGACACCCTGATGCCCCTCCTACTCTAGCTTTCCACAGTAGCGGCTCCCTTTCCCAGAAGCATTTCTTTGCATCTGCTCTCAGCTGTTGGGCCTTCTACTCGTCAGGTTTCACCTAAGCCACCTTCCCAACAAGTCCTTTCCTGCTCAGCCTGGAGATACTGGTGCTCAGCCCTGCTCTGTCTGAACATGACTTCTGCGTCCTATGTTCCAGTTCCCTTGCTTGTTCTCTCCCCAGAATTCTCTTGCCCTCCATTATCATCTGCCTCATGCAGCATTCAACTTCCAGGGGCTGGCTGTGTGCTGGCACTTAGTAGGCTCTCATTTAATAGTGGCTCTTTAGGGAAGGTACTGTGTGTTCCGGCCAGGATCCACAGGAGCGAGGCGCAGCCTCCAAACCCAAAGCCTGGTGCCCCTACACCAAGTTTTTTTGCCCTCCAGATGCAATTTCACCCTCGGTGCTGGATGATAGCCTCATGAGCTTGGCAGATCAGGAAGCAGAGCTTAAAAGAGTGATTGCTTGAGTCAGCAGTCAGAACAGAACATACACAGCTGCGTTAGGAGATGCTCTCTCATCAGTCATGCTTTCTTCAGTGAAAAACAAATGCACATCTGGGGAGGAGAAAAGTACTTTATTCCAGAGGATTATCGCAAAGGCTGCAGGGAGGAAGGGTCATGGTGGTGGGGGCGCACTCACCAAGAGACCACCTGTACACATCTCCAAGTTACACAGAAAGCTTTTCTTTCATACAGAGGGGTAAAGACAGCTAGGGAGAAAGTGCAAGGAGGAGGTGGGCTGAAGGGGTGGCGGAGTGGGCGACAGACCCAGGGTGCTCACCCCAGGGCCAGGCTCTCCTCCAGAAGGGCCGGCTGGGGGCTGCTCCAGGCAGGAGGGGCCCACATTCAGAGGTCGGCAGGAAGCAGAGAAGCTTAACTAAAGTTTGGTCAGTAAGAATTTTGTTCCAGCCCATCACTGGGAGAAGCAGTTCAGTTCACTGTGTATGAAGCAAAGAAAGGGAACTGAAGAGCCTGACTGTGGACTTAGAATAAACCAGGTGGGGACATCTGTGAGCATCCTTTGAGTCACATTGATACAGGGGAAATGAAGCTCCCAACCGGAAAGGTTCCTGGGATGAGTCTGTGTTCTCTAAAATCGAAGAATGAATTTGAGGAACAAAGACAGGCTAAGAGCAGAATATTTACTGGGGGAAAGAAAGCTTCTGTCTGAGAGGAACAGAAGGAGGGCCCGAGCAGGTTGTCCCTGGGAAGCTGTCTCTTCCAGGGACTTTTATAAAGTAAAACCATGTGGTGAGGTGGGTCTAGTGTGGAGAACATGGGAACTTGCTTAGGTTGATGTGAGGTGGGACAAAACTATGGTCAGCCAATGAGTGTGAAGCGCCATTGCTCAGGTAAAGTTGATTAAACCCAGGACCAAACGAGGAAGTGAGTCACGGGACAGGGTCTCTTCCTGTTGGTGGTTGGGTTAGTGACACTTTTGGGCTCTGTCAAGGTGATTGATACCTATTTAGAATATCAGTCCCTGCTGCCCATCCCTGGGGAAGCATGTGGCTGCATTTGTTTCTCTTTTGTCTTGAAGTCTGGGCCAAAGCAGCAGTGTCTTCTGTGTCTTCCAGAGTTGCAAAGTCACCTTGTCTTCCCTATTGTCCCCTTGAGGGCTTGGCCCTGTCTGACTGCCTATAGTATTTTTATCTAATTAGGTGTCTGCAACAATATGGGAAAAGGGAGTTCTTTGTAGTTGCTCGTTTTCTAGCACATTCTCGACAAAGAATTTCTCCATCTTCTCTGTTTTCCCAGAGCTCAGATCTTGTTCCAGAGGAGATGGGAGTAAAAAATCTTGAGTGGCATTTCTGCAAAAGCTCTTAGAAAGGGGACATCTGGAAAAGCTTTATGAAGCATGTACCCTGTCAGCCTTTTCTCCTGTTTGTTGCCTACAACAAAGAAGCAGTGGCTGCTGCCATTGTGGACTATGAGGCAGTACTAGAGTCGGAATCCATGGGCTAAGGATGGTAGAACAAAAAGGTGAAAGATCCATAAAAGATAAATACTTGTTTCTGTTTTTTAAGCATT